TAGTTAATACAACTTTTATTGCTGATGCCTTAGTTTTTTTTATCTCAATCTAATATGCTTTCCTTATTAAAGCTTACGCCCTGAAAGTCCATACTCTTAAATCTGAGGTAAATGAAGTTTGGTTCTTCCGTGCTAAAGTACATGAAACTCAAGTAAATAATACATATAGGGAATTAAAGTAGCTCATTTAAAGTTTTCGACCCCCAGGGTCGTAAAGCTTGTGTTTTTAAATCCCAAATCAGTGAAACCCAAGCTTTTTGAACTTACGCTAACGAAAGTCATTTTGATTAGTTCAATTAGCGTACCGCTTTGACGAGAGTGAAGAAAAACTTCTGAAATTTCCCCTTCGGCCCTCGACTTAAGAGCCGACGACCCGTTTGCTAAATTTCCCAGTTTTAGGAAACTTCAAAGAGACCTAAATTTCATGGTTCATAATTATAATAGGCAAAGAGGCCTCTAAAGTCGTCATCCAAACCAAAATCTCAACAATCCCTCCATCCATCCATAAACGCCGACACGTGAGAAGACTCACACATACACATAGACACTCACAACTGCCCTCCGGCTGCTCCGTCAGCCTGTGATGGCATTGGAGGATTGAAGGTGAGAGTTGCCAAAGAAGAGTTGACAAGGATAGAATTGTGGGTTGGGTGCAGTTCGACGTACTGTCGTCTTGCTAGAATAAGCCGGTCGACGTCTACAGGACTGGTCATACCAGAGCTTTCCCAGGGGGTCGGATTCATTTGGATGATAACGACTATATTATGTATGTGTATGTTTGAAAAATATCAGTAATGCTTGAATAAGAGTCTAGACAACCCAAGTGGTACAAAATGAATAAACGACTGAGGGTGGGTTTGTTTCAGCTCAATGAGACAAGTTGGTATACCGATGCCATTGCCTTTCACATAATCTTGCCTCCTAAAAAGTTTACACATTTCTACAGAACTAAGGGTTTCGTCAGTACTCACAACGGGATTAAAAACCGCATCATGTGTTTATATTGACTACGCATTATCAGCCCGCTACACAACCACGAGTGTCAATGTGTCGCCGGACAGAATGAGCTTTTAACGTAA